GGGGGGGGGGTTGGTGCGTGGAGACCCTTTCCGGCAGCCTCCCCTGCATCCTAATCAGCCGTGTGGGGTGCGAAAATGGGGGGGGGGTTTCTGTCGCATAAATAATGCGCATGGCTCCAGCTCAGGAGAACACGAGGCGCAGTCAGCGGACCGTGCGAGCGGCCCAAGCGTCCCACGTGCAATTAATTAGTATTAATTGTGCGACGAGGCTGGAACGCAATGGAGATGTGGCTTTGCTGTGTCCTTTCCAGCCGTGCTCTGCGGGAGAACTCCACGGCACGCGGGAGACCGGCTGAAAGGCCCGTTAGACAAAACCCCCCCCCGGTTATTTTAACCCACCTGTGTACCGGGGCGGGGGGGGATCTGCAGAACAGGGAGGGGCCCTCTAAGGTGCCCCCTGTGGTCAAATCTCTCCCACATCTCTCAATATCAGGGGGGGCCAGGGAATACTGTTTGTTTGTGCAGAAGTGGTGACGGTCTCCTCACCGACAGCGCGAGGGAAACATGTTCCCCAGACGCAAAAGCCGCAACGGAAGATTAGACGCATTCTTCATGACATGCATCAAATGGCAAAAACAAAGAAAGCATGCAAGTTTGCAACGGGAGAAACACTTGGCATTGCTGAGGCCATCACAATATACATTAAAATATGAAAATATGACTTCACCAACACTGACGGGATCGTTTTAGTTATTTTTTTGCTGGCAGAACAGTGTCAGAGAGACAGATTTTTCCCGGAATCATTGGCCATAAATCCACGGTTTGGAAGAGAGAGATCATGTTAACAGATGTAAGAAGAGCCCAGATCTCTGTTCAACAGGCCATTACAAGACTGCAGAAAAACAGAGTGGGTTTCATTTGCAAACCACAACACTAGCACTTCACTTAATGTGAGAACAAACTTATTCCAGCACTGAACTTCTTACTAAAGCTCTAAATTTTATTCCACCCTGGCTAAAAAAACAAATGACGCTACAAATCATTACCATATTTTCCTATACTGTATATAGAGGACATTGTAAAATAAATGGGAAATGAGCTGTACATATGTTGCACCCCATTCAAACTGGTTTAAAATAAAGATTTCATACAGCAATGTCTCTTCAATGCCCTTGAACAGCAGCCTACAATCCATTACATCCATTACACAGACCTCACCAGGTATACAGTCATTCACGCACCTGAATAATTAATTAATTTACAATCAAGCCATGTCGTATGGTAATTAACACTAGCTGTTTATAGACCAGGGTGGAATCACATTATGCAGGGAGAAGTGGAATTAATGGAGGTTAGGCACAGTGGAGAGTGATCTCAGTCAAACGGTGGCATTCACATTATATTTTCTCCATCCTTCCCCCCCCCCCCTCCCTTCCCCCCACCACCACGTCCAATCACATCTTTCAGGCGAAGCGTCACCTGGGACGATTAGCGGGAAACTTTCCACAAATGCCTTGATTTGGTCACACCGGTGATGAGTTTGAAAAGCTTAAAAGGAAGCAATGAAGGGTATAATTGGGAGAGGAGCGACACGCTTGATGAGCATTGTTCCTGGGTGACGGCGAGCGGAGCCACCAGAATACCAAAGTGCCTCGATGCCTTGTCCCACAGTCCTGCGCCCGCATACAAAGACCTTCGCCAATGGGGCCCCGGCAGAGGTGAAAATTCACCCCGGGGAGGTCACATGACTCATAGGAAGACCAGAGGGAGTTTTCCCGGGAGACCACAAACCTCATAAACCCAGCACGGTCCAATTCTGCACTCTACCGGCTACACAATTAACCAATAGGGTTGAAGAATTTATTTTTTCCTGAGTTTCATTGGGTGACTGTCTGAGAGCCCATGAGGGAGGGAGTCCAGTCATCTGCAAAGATCCTGGATCAGAGAGGCTCAGCCTAAGCCATCACATGCTGTACGGAGAATAAAGGAAGTACTTCCGGGACCTGCTTTCATTTGAGAAGCAACAGGTCGGACCCTATAAACAGCCTCTACTCTTCTCGTTTACTAATCAAAAGCAGGTGGCAGACCCACGCGCTTTCGGAGCCGATTAGGCAGGCAGCTCTGGCTTCTGCCGCTCCTCGGCATACGTTTAATTATGCGAGCACATTGTTCCGGGCTATAACTGGCACTCGCACTGCCGTAAAAACAATGCCCGGCCCCGCACAAGCGATTCGCAGTAACGAATACGACCGCGTCATTAGAAACGGGGCCGCGACTGCCATTCTGGAAAAGCTGCGAGTTAGTCTAGAACGGTGTTTCCCGATCCGGTCCTCGGGACCCGCCGACAGCCGACGTTTTTTGCTCCCCGTCCGTGGGTCCCTGAGGACCGGCTTGAGAAACACTGTTCTAGAACATTCCATAGTTTTGGCATCGCCATCACAGGAAAATGGGAAGGGAAGAGCATTAAAGAACAGCAGAAGGCTTGTTTAACTCAGGGGTTAGGAGACAAATCCCTTTACTGACCTGTAACCTGTCACTAAAACTTGGTCCAGTTTTCATGCCATAAGTTATTGTTAAGTTCAGTCAGAGAAAACTTATTTCTGTGAGAGGCTACGTCGCGTGGGGCTTATATTCCAGGGGTGCCAAAAAGCCCCCCCATTCCATCCTCCGATTCCCGTATCCCGTGGATCTGCTCGAGTTTTTCCACACACCTCACGTGGCGGCTCGTGCCCCCCCCCGAGGCGAGCCCTCATTCCCACCTCACGCTGAGACACTGTGCCCTCCCCCCCCCCTCCTGTATCCTCAGCATCTCACCCCACCCATCACAGCACCTTTCAGCACAGCCCCTGCAAAGAGCAAATACGGCAGTGGCATCAGGCAAGCGCCTTTTTGAGGTCAGGATGTCAAGAGCGACCTTAATATCAAGATTCTGCTCGGCGCCGCTTTAGTGTCGAACCCCGGACAGATGAATGTGATTCCTCAAACCCGCAGACAGCATCAGGGCAGCAAAGGTTACTGTCTGGATATCAAACAGCCAAAGCATGATGGGAACACGAGGGCTGTACCATGTAGGGGGGGGGGGGGGAACAGGGCCAGGAGAGAGTGTTGTGATTACCTCAATCTGGCAGTGACAGCCCCCGCCCCCCACAAACCTCCCAGAGTGCAACTGAGGGAACAGAGAAAGCAATAAGCCCAGTCCTGGAGAACTCAACGTCAGCGGGAAGCACCCGAATACCCCCATCCCCCACTGAGGCGAGGGCGTGCCTGCGTGCCCCATCACCTCTGCCGCGCGCGTCACTCCGAAACGAATCAGGGATCCATCCTTTCCAGTTCGCTCACCTCCCTGATGCGCCAGAATGCCGATGCCACAGCACCCCGAAGAGTGGGGGGGGGGCGGTGAAGGCAAAAGTTTCAAGGACTTGATAACGAGGCTGTCTTATTTTGGCACGTTTTGGCAAATGGGCCGCGTCGCTGTCAGTCCCGTCACCAGCGCCTTCGCCTCCAGAGAAAGACCCGGATAATTAGCCCCTCAACAATGACGAGGCTTGTTGCTTCGCTTTTGTTTCAAGCCCGGCAACCTCCCGTATTTTCCCCAAAAAATTCCTATCGCATGTCCCTGACTATTGCGCTAAAAGGTTTTTAATTCGCCGAGTCAACGAGCTCTGCTTATAACCAAAGTTAGAGTTCTGCTGGCACCGTGACAGACGGCGAATTGTCCCCGCTGTTTAGCATGTAGATTAAAACAAAAGATCGACATCTGCTACGAATAATTGTACCCATTAGCGCTGAAATGCGAGGAGAAGGTTCACTGCCAGATCTGTGGAATAACAATAGAGAACGATAGCATATATTTAGCTTACAGTTTCTGGAATCAAACTTAATTGCCTTTATTCAAAGTACACGGCCTTAGTCTCAGGAATTTCAGCAGAGGGGGATGGGACAGAAGTCTTGCGAAAATATGTCGAGCACTTACGACGACTCGATCCCGAATGCAAAAATTGCATAATAGTTTCTAATTATATTATTGAGAAAGGGACCACACTGAACAGTCAATGGCTAAATTACCAGGCCAGCGCCCAGATGAAATGATTTGCCAGTTGTAATTACATCTGACACTGTTTTTCATTTTGCCTCATGTCTTTCAAGAGGAAACATACACCCAGCTGTCAAGCAGACACTGAGGCTCGAGTTAATTACACAATTAAGACGTGCGACGCTTGACAGATACGGGCTCGTCGCGGAACCACCGAAAAACGGCAGATATGATCACAAAGGGGAATTCATCGCGCCATTTCCATCAGACTCCACTGAAAAGAGGAACTTTGGGCCTCGTCAAAATAGTTTATTTTCTCGTTCAGAGGCTTTCCTGCATCACAATGCTACTTAGTCAGGCAACACCAGCGTGTCCCCGGCACGCATTAGCACGGGAGTCACGCATGAATGTTATCGGACCAAACGACCGTAAACTGCAATTCTAAAGAAGCGGCCGGGATTAAAATTACATCCCTCCGGCGAGAAGCGGATTTAAAGAGATGGCTCACAATCAATCCGCACACGCCAATATAATTATGAGAAGAATGGATGGCTTTTGAAAACGTAGCACGGTAAACATGCTTGCCGGTGTTTTATATAGAAATATTTTCCTCAGCAAAAAGCAGACAGGATGGGAAGTCTACACTTTTCTTTGAAGAAAGCCATTATGCAGTAAGAACGGGTGAAATAAATCTGATAGTAAACATGGACATTGATATGACCTTAAACCACTGTTAGAAGCAGCATGAAAAACTGGCTCGCAGTGCAACCAGTATGAGTACACACACCATAACAGTAATCCCGCAGGGAACCGATGGAGACATACACAGAAAATTCCCAGAGGTCAACCGTAAGATATAGCACAAGCCTTGAAAGTAAGCCAGAGCACCACAGATGAAGTCATAGCAGAAGTTGTGGGGACCGGTTAGTACTGGTTTAGTGACACAGCGGGAGCATAACTGCCTAATGTACAGGTCTTCCTTTGAGACAATAGGACGGGTTAGTACTGGTGGAGTCTTACCAAATCTCTGGGACTCTGCATCCGAGGCTGGGTGTTCTAGAAGAGGTAAAGGATGAAGAGTTAAGAAACCTGGAGACGACGCAAACCAAAACAATAGGACTCAAATCAACACAAAACACGCACGACTGCAACACTATGGGCCAACCATTGGGCTGACCCACGGCTAGACAGGGCCCAAGCGGCGAGACTTCACCCATTCACCAGCTGGTCGACGACAAGTAGAACCAGAAGCTTACAACAGCAGTAAAACAAACAACATGACATTTGGCACACTATCTACGGCTTAAAGAAATCAATAACTGGCCCAGTCTAAGGATTTTTCTTAATTACAAGTTAATTAGCCTTAATTATTCACAATTAGTTTTTTTTTAGTATGTGTCCCTTTGGTGTAAACAACGATTTCCACAATTTGATTCTGTTCAACAGTCGGCGGGTAATAAAACAGACCTTTTGGGTCAAGAGCCTGACTCATTCAGCTGTTACATGGAATCTGCGTTGGCGTATGGACACAACAGATAAAACCTTTGGCCATTTAAATGCGCCGACTGATGCGTTTCCTCCGGCATCTCGTGGTTCCTCCGGAACCGGCCAGCACAAAGGGACAATGTGCATTCCCCGGGGTGCGACAGAACCCCGTCCGACCCGGTGTGGCCCGACAGAGGCATCTGGTACCCGCCGGGTACGCGCGACATCACCGGCACTCAGCGGGAGGAACACAAACGTGACGAGAAGCGAAAGTGACGTTACAGAGCGCCGGCTAGCGCGCTGCTAAGCTAGTGCTGGCTGCTGCTGGTTCCTTCTTCCCTGGAAGCGTTTTTTTAACGTATTTTTCTTTTTACCTGTGGTGATGCGGTGGCTGATGAATTATTCAAAGCCCCGTAACTTATGTATGCAGGACGAGAGGGAAGGTTTTGTCAGGCGTTCGCCTCCAGCCTGCCATATTATCATCATTGCTTCCACTGCTACCTAGCATTCTTGTCACATTTAAGCCTCCCCCATTCCTTTGTTCATCTGACTCCCCCAATATTGAGCCCCCCCAGTCAGCCCC